CAGATTGTGTATCAGTCTGGACCCTAGTAACAACCTCCTCCGTTTATGTGTATGGTCAAAACTATTCCTATAGCCTGTCCCTACTTACTGAAACAACTTCAGAATTAGGAGACCAATTTAGTTCATTCCTGCAGTACTACCTGGCAGCCACGAGTTTGTATTGGTTTCAAAACCAATGCCTTTTCCCCTTTTAATGGAGCTGATCTGGGAACGATTGATTTTTTTTTCGTCTGGCTTCCCGCCAAACAGTCTTGCTGGGATTAAGACTGCAGCCTCAGCGGAAGTTATTCTACCATCCCAGCCCCTGTGCGCCACCTAGTGGTGATTCGCAAATTTAGAATCAATGTGATATAAGACATAATGCGACTCTTTCTCTTACAAGACAACAGCCTTACAGGAAAATTGTCGGTGGGTATTTTTGCTCTAAATCTGACACTACTTCCCTTTTTGGATTCACTTCGCCTCTCCTCGCATTTTCGTAAGGCATCCGTCTTCCTTTACCCCGGAATTCTGGCTTTCCCATTCTCCTAGTGAGATTTCTCAGCCCTGCAGCTGCATGCAGTGCCGCCTCAGGCTAAGACAGAGTGGTCACAGCGGGAGGAGGAGGAGAGAAGGAGCAGGCGAACACCAGCACCTGGGTGGGTGGGGGTGTTTGTTTTACTTCACTGCATATTCTGCTGCTGCCTGGACATTTTAATTACAGATGCTCGTCGCGTTACGATGGCGACGGGGTCGTCGTTAAGTCTATTTTTGCACCCCCCCTAAATAAATGTGTATTTTTTATTTAATCCATGAATTTTTTTTTAATTACACCTGTTTGCCATCGCCGTCGCCACCCGCCCCAAGGAAGACTCCATTCATCTCTAACTACCCCCCTAGATGGTGCACCAGCGACGCACATTCAGTAGTAATCAAACTGTGAATTTTGATCTGCTTCCTGGCTTGCGATATTTTCTACTGATGACGGGTGATGGCAGCATCCATCCAGCCACGCATGCAGTCTCCATGACGATCGCGAGTGTTTAATGGTGTTTTTCCTGTGGTTAACCAAAAAATCCAGAGCCCATTATTTCTACTAAACACCCAAGTGTCACGTCATATCAGAGTCATATTCGACTTACGATATCATATTTATACCTTCGCAGGGAAGGAAATCCGCGAGGAGCATCTCTGCTCTTTATAACTGTTTGCATAACAAACAAAAGTTCTCTTCCTGGAAAATGATGGATGTTTTTTGTAATTGTGGCATGAATTGCTGTTGTTTAAGGATGTGAACTTCATCTTTCAGACCTAAAATGTAACTGAAAATAGGAATCACGAGGACGTGCACCTGCAGGTTTCTGATTCAATCCCAGGATGTTTTCTACTGTTGTACCTTTGGAGTAAGAGCTAATCTGAACGTGGTGGTGACTATAGGGCACTTGTACTTGGCATGTTGATATTTTGCTTTTATTGTTCTTTAATGTACTTCTTCCTTAGACATTACTTCCCCCCAACCCCTTTGGGTGTGTCTGGTCATACACTCTCACGGACATTCTGCAGCCTGAAATCCCAGAACAGCAGCCCATCATAGCCATTGTCGTCCACTGGCACCCACCATAGCGTTCTTATTGCGTTTCTTCGACGTTTTGTGAGTCTGACACGTCGCTTGAGGCTGATCCTACTCAGCCGCAGCCTCCCTGCCAGCCCCCATATCCCCCTGCAGCCTGACAGCAGCAAAATGCAGGTAAATGACTGTGCCGGGGGGGGGCACCTTTGTCAGAGGATTACCAGGAACCAAGCTCTCCGGTCCTGTCAGGACACTGGGGAGTGGCACAGAAGCAGGGGCCTTGGAGCCACCATTAGCGGCCTGCTTTAGCCCCGGTGTCGCTGAGCGACCTGTCAGAGCGAGTCTGCGTTTGAAGTGCAGTGCGGTTCAGCAGCTGGAGGAGTAAGAGTGCTGCCGGAACACGCGACCCGGCAGGCAGGAGCAGAACAACAAAAGGGCAAGTGGTGGTGGGGGGGGCGCTCCTCATGGTGCTTTTAAGCTTTTAACGGAGGGGCGGGGGTGGGCTTTTTGCAGCTTTCTGCAGACGGTTTTGACATTCTGCAGAAAGGAAATCAATCGAGGGTGTCTGGACGCTGCACGGCTGTCACGCAAACAGGCTAATTCTGCCAGGATCCTTGTTATTTTACCTGTTTCTATTGGTTTGCACCTTACTGTACTACAGTTGGCTGGTAGAGGCTCTCAGGTCGGGACACGCCCACAGGCCATGATGTCTGACACCCAGCTGTGACTCCTCCGAGCGTGCACGCCCACAGGCCCTCATGTCTGACACCCAGCTGTGACTCCTCCGTACGTGCACGCCCACAGGCCCTGATGTCTGACACACAGCTGTGACTCCTCCGAGCGTGCATGCCCACAGGCCCTGATGTCTGACACCCAGCTGTGACTCCTCCGAGCGTGCATGCCCACAGGCCCTGATGTCTGACACCCAGCTGTGACTCCTCCGAGCGTCCATGCCC